TGCTTTGACCAATCCATGCATTAGGATTATGAAAAAGATTCAATTTGAGTCTCAATCAGATTGCTTCCTGATTTCATCGAAACAGAATATATCATTGTCCATTCACCACAACTTCAGTAAATTTAAAATTTGTCTGAAACAATACACGATCAGAATGCTTTGGCTAATGCTGGTTAGAAAATCAGGAACATCGTTTATCATAATGTCCTCAATGGATTTTAATGTAGCTAAAATGTATTCAGCTCTTAATTCTTGAACTGGAAGTTAGATCCCAATTTCTAGTCCACAAGTTTGTAAAGTTATGCATCTGTAAAGATGGCATTAGGCAATAATAAAACATTAACTAATAATCCTATACTTACCTGAGAGAGTGAGATTAAAAGTCTCTGGAAATGTCCAGATGTGTCACTTCTAATGGCTTCTTCCAGAGTTTTTTTAAATTCTGTGAAAGACCAAGGAGACTCAGTTTTAAATTATCATTTTTAGGGGTTTTATCTCATCTCAGGGAATAGACAGGAAATGAGAGGAGGAGAAGAGAGTAAGTGTAATACACTTATAGATTAAAATGCAGCTGGTTTAGGGTGGAAACACCCTATGGACTTATTTATGTATTTTATATTCTACCCTTCAAAAAATACTGTTTTTCCAAGGTGATGAGAGAAGAATATTAAGAGCATTTCCATATGGAATTTCTCACTAGTCCCCCCCATGACATCACACTCTTATGTGCACATAACAGCATCATTGTCTTTGAACAGTGGAAGCATTTTTTTCCAGTGAACTGTAGTGGTGGAACCTGGAAACAAGCCATTTTCCCATTTATGAGAACTCTTGGTGCCTCCTTGCATCTGAATTCAAACTTTTCTAGCAGATTTCACAAACTGTTCAGTGAGTCCGATCTACTCCGTTTCTCAGTCCCTGTAAAAGAACTGCCCAGTTTGAATTTCTCTTTTATATCAGCAGTGGGTAGCAAACTCTCATCTTACCCTGCCTTCCAGCCTCTGGGTTCAAGGAAGCCATTACTAACTCCTTCTCTTTCTTTCTCACCTACACATTCTACACTACAACCCATAACCTTGACTGTAGCTGTGCCTTTTCCGCAAATGTACCCTGTTACACCAGAAAAAACATTGTCTTGAGAACTGAGTAGCGTTCCTCTCATACCAAGAACTTGGGGCTTTTGAAAAAGATGTAGGAAGTGCAAACACAGCATCCCTGAAAATATAGGGATGGGAGTGGTTGCCCTTTCTATGTGGAGCAAGGAGATCTTTATTACTCCAGGAACTGCTGTAGCTCAGGGGGCAGGGCTGGCTAACCCTTTTCACACTCTGATTAGTCCCCTGCAGGAAGAGCATTGATTGGCTCGTGGGGTTCCCTGCCTCTTTTCTAGAACAGTAAGACATGAAAGCAGGAGCCAAGGAGATCCAATGGCCAGTTTCCAACCCCCTTGGGAGAGCTGGCAGATAGGAACTTCTGCATGGCAGTGTTTCTAACAACAGCTATAAAAATATGAAAAAGGAGGAGCCTTAAAGAGCAAAAAAAACCCCAACAACAACCCTACATTAAGTATAAAGGATGCTGTAAGCATTGCTCTGGTCTTGTTGTTGTTGTTCAGTCGTTAAGTCGTGTCCGACTCTTCGTGACCCCATGAACCATATTGCGCCAGGCCTTCCTGTCCTTCACTGCCTCCCTG